ATAAGCCAAGAGGAGACTGGTTTTCCTTTGCTAAAGTATCTTTGATCCTGTAAACAAACGTTGGTTTTCACGAGACTCACCGGCGCATGCGCAACGCTGACCTCCATACGTCATACTCCCGGAACTGCTTGTGTGTACAACTGTTGGCGCAAGCTACATTAAAGTGATTATTACGTTTTGAATATGGATATTTTTCTTACAAAAACACATCGATTCGCTACAGAAGGCCTTTGTTCACCCCCCGGAGCCGTGTGAGACACTTTTTTTATGGATGGGCGATTTTTATTTAAGTTCTTTTGGACTGAAGCAATGCAACACCCGCTGAGTGGCATTAAACAGCTTGAAAGATCAAAGATCATTTTTAATATAACGCTGACTGGATTCATCTGAAAGAAGAAAGTCATATACACCTAGGATGCCTCGGGGGTGAGTAAAACGCAGCCTAATTTTCATTTTTGGGTGAACTAACCCTTTAATACATAACAGTTTGCCTTAGTCTTTTTGAGCTATGACAACTTCTAATGGAAATTGTGGGAAAAAAATTTAAATTCTTCTAATGAAAAGGTTGGAGCAACTGAATCATATAAACACAATATAATTTTTAAGTTGATTCTTCAAAAAAAAAAAAATAAGTTACTCCAAATCATTTCAACAATTTGATTATTACTGGTCACTGTAGTTGTCAGTACAATGGTAACCACAAAAACTTCAACATAACAGAAACGCTTTTAAATGTCTAACATAAAACACATAAAATAACAATTAATTTCAACATTTATTTTTCTTATCCAGTCCTATGCAAAGCATGCTGGGAACTAGAAATACACTACTTAAAACACTTAATTAAAATAAATAAATAAAATAAAAATTTATGCAGAAATTGTCTGTTTAAATTACAAACAATATTGGGATGATATAATGATCAATATTACCGTACTCATCAAAATAATGTTTGCAACTTAAAAGGTTTACTTAAATCACTAACATAGAATTTTAACTTTTAACCGTTTCCAGCATTTCTTTTTAGAGTGTAGTTCCCTTTCAAGGAAACTTCGAACTGCGTCCTCTAGGGGTCGCTATGGGGAACGATATACCCACGCCGCCATGCTGAGGGGAGT